TGGGGGCGCGCTGCGATGGGGGGGTGGTAAAGGGGGGAGCGGCGAATTCGGGGGTCCCGGGGGCGCGGGGGCTGGGGGGGGCCGGGGGGAAGGGGCGCGCTGCGGCGGCGGGGGGCGATGGGGGCCTCCCCCTCCGGCGAGGCTGCGGTGATGGGGGCATGGTGCGGAGGCTGGGGGTGCAGAGGAGGGGTCGGGTCCTGGGGGGGCTCTGCTCCTCTCGAGGAAGGCGACAGCCCTGCCTCAGTTTCCCCCAGTGCAGCGCCCTGGGCTGTCCTTTCGCAGGGTGCAGCGGGGGGCGGCTTAGCATCCCCATCTTTGCAGCCCCCCCATACCGAGCTGCACACAGAGACACCCCCGTGCAGTGTGCGGCCCCCTCCCCAGCCCCTTGCCTGGGGTCCCCCAAGCCCCGCATCTCCCCAAGACGTGAGGATCCCCGATTCCTGCAGCCCCCCGCTAGCACGGGGGACCCCTCAGCTCCACCCCTGCAGATTCCAGGGCCTCCCCCAGCCTGCCCCATGCCCCCGCAGGATCCGGCCTCGGAGCCAGCGCCGCTGTCACCATGGGCAACATCTTCGGGAACCTGCTGAAGAGCCTGATTGGGAAGAAGGAGATGAGGATCCTGATGGTGGGGCTGGACGCTGCTGGGAAGACCACCATCCTCTACAAGCTCAAACTGGGGGAGATCGTCACCACCATCCCCACCATCGGTGGGTGAGGTTGGGGGGGCACCGAGCAGAGACCGCTCCCCATCTGGGTTCCATCGAAGGGGCTGGCGGCTCCCCCGTGCCTCAGTTTCCCTCCACTGTCTCTCCCCGCAGGGTTCAACGTGGAGACAGTGGAGTACAAGAACATCAGCTTCACCGTGTGGGATGTGGGTGGGCAGGACAAGATCCGGCCCCTCTGGAGGCATTACTTCCAAAACACCCAGGGTAGGTGTCTCAGGGGACAGCGTGGGGGGCCCTCGGGGAGCAGGGTGGCCACAGGAACCCCGTCAGTGCCCGCTCCCCTCGCCAGGGCTGATCTTCGTGGTGGACAGCAACGACCGGGAGCGGGTGAACGAGGCGCGGGAGGAGCTGATGCGGATGCTGGCGGAGGATGAGCTGAGGGACGCCGTCCTCCTCGTCTTCGCCAACAAACAGGTGGGGCTGGGGGTGGGGAGAGCCCTGTGGTGGGACCGAGACATCCCCAGGGTGTCAGGGCAGCTCTCTGGTGTAGGACTTCTGTGGCATCAAGGCTGCTGTCAGAGGCTGTGTGACAAAGCCACGGCCATCCGTCCATCCCTGTGGCACCAGGGGTGGTGGTTGCCTCTGGAGCCATCCCCGTGGCACCAGGGCTGGTCTTTAACACGGCTCTGGCTATTATCCCTGTGGTGTCAGGGCTGGTGTCTCACATCCCCATGGGAGAGTCCCATTCCTTCCTGTAGCATCAGGGCTGATGATGTCCCCTGTGGCAGAGTTGTGCCCACCCCCGTGGCATCAGGGCTGCTGCCAGCTCCCGTGGAGGGGTCGTATCCATTGCTGCAGCATGGAGCCCCTGCGTGACCTCCCTTGTCTGCTCCAGGACCTGCCCAACGCCATGAACGCAGCGGAGATCACGGACAAGCTGGGGCTGCACTCCCTGCGCCACCGTAACTGGTACATCCAGGCCACCTGTGCCACCAGCGGGGATGGGCTCTACGAGGGCCTCGACTGGCTTGCCAACCAGCTCAAGAACAAGAAGTGAGGGGAGGTCCCCCTGTGCCCCCTCGGCTCCCCCTGGGCTGTGCCAGGGCCCCCCCCGGCCGCCCCCTCCCTGCCCCGGTTGGGTTTTGCTTTCTTCTGGCACCGGTTGCTGTGGGGTTTTTCGCCTTTTTTGGGGTCCCCCTGGTTCCCCTCGGATCTCGTGTGTGCGTGCGTGGAATTAGAGCTCTATATAACGCCCAGGGGGGCAGGAGCAGAGCCCCGGGAGGGTGGGACAGGGGCTGGGGTGGCCACCTCAGCACTGCCCTGCCTGGGGGGGGCCAGGGACACCCTGTCCCCATGCATGACCCTGCACCCCTCGCCTTCCTCTGGACCAAATGTGGGGGCAGCAGGGCCATGGGGGGGGATTTGGGACTACACACCTCCCCTTCCCTCCCAGCACCCCCTCCCGGCCCCACGTGCCCCCCTCGGGCATCCCACACGTCCCCCCCATGTCACTTTGAGGCAGGTCTCCTTCCCGCAGCGCGACCCCCGCAGAGGTGGGGGGCACACGGGGCTGCCAGGACCTCTGCGGTCCCCCTGGCCATGCCCTCCTCCTCGCCCTGGCCGCCTGCCCCCCTCCTGCCCCCATGCCAGCATAGTGATTGTATGTCCCTGCCCCTCACGGACGGACAGTGTCCCCCCCCAACCCCGTACTGTGCCCCCCCATCCCCAGCACCGTATTTATACCCCCGGTCTGTGCTTGGTGTGACGTGTCGCCGCGGCTCTGCCCTGTCCAGGGACGTGTGTTCTCAGCCCCCCCCCCCAGCCCCCAGCGCCTGAGACGGTGGGTGACCTCCCCTGACCCCCCCCTTGGATATTAAACATGTTTTATGTAGCTCTGCCCCTCGTCTCTTCTTCCGCAGCCCCCCCAGCGTGGGGGTCCCGCGGAGGGGACGGTGATGGACAGCCCTGGGCTGGCTTTAATTAGAAAGGGCTTAACGGGGCGGGGGGTGTGAGGTGGGGCTGGCAGGGGGCGAGGGGGCTCCCCCCCCTTCCCAGGCTCATCTTTAGGGGAATATTGGATGAAATGGTAAATCCCATTAGTGCTAATCCCAGCTGGGGCGTGGGGACGGTGCCAGTGCTGGGATGGGCGCGAGTGGGACTTGGCCCCCCCCCCCCACCACCACCCCTACCCCATGTCATCCCCCTGCGTGGGTTAAGGGGACCTGAGTGGCATTTGGGGCCAGCACTGCCATCCCATCCCCGTGTCCCCTCTGGACTGGTGGCTGGGGGGGGGGGCTGTTGGCCGTGTCTGTGACACCAGGGAGCTGCAGAACCAGCACCAGGGCCCAGAATGGGGGTGACCAGGGCCCAGCACTCCAAAGTGGGGTGACCAGAGCCAGCACCAGGGCTCAGAATGAGGTCACCAGGGCACCCCAGTGGGTTGGGGGACATGGAGATGACAGTGGGGAGCCCCAGTGCAGGTGACCAGGGCACCCCAGTGGGTTGGGGGCCATGGATATCATACTGGGGAGCTGAAGTGGGGATGACCAGGCCTCTGGGAGCTCCCTCGGGGGGCTCAGTGTGGATGACCGGCGCTCCCCGGTGGGTGGGAGCAGCGGAGCCGGCACCGACGCGTTCCCACCGGCTGGACCGACGGCTTTGTGTGGCGAGGGCTGACCCGGCGGCCCTAATCCCATTAGCGCCCCGGGCCCAGCCGCCAGCCCGGCTTCCCCACCTCTCGGCAACCGAGGCTGGTATGTGGGTGCGCCGGTGGGGCCGGCGTGCCGATGCCGTCGTCCGGGAGCTGCAGCCGGCGTCACGGTCCTCCCCGTCCTGGAGCTGCACCGGGGCCGGTGACACCAAGGAGCCCATCCCGGTGGACACGGGGCCGGAGATCCCGGCTGCCCACCGGACCGGGGGGAATTCCCTGTGCTCCCAGCTCTGCCCTGGGGGTTCCGTGTCTCCAGACACACGGACGGGGCTTCTGGGGCACGCCCCGTCCCACCGGGCTCCAGCCGACCCGCGGGCCCCCAGCCCGGGCTCGGGGCTCGGTTTCCCTTGTCTTGCACAGCCGGGGCTGGAAGAGCTGCAGAAGTGCCAGGAGAAGGAATGACCTGCCACCCGTGCGGTGCTGCAGAAGGGTTCTGGACCCGGGGAAGGGTCCCGGGCCCCGGTGGGTGCCGGTTTCCCCGGGCTGTGCTGCCGCCTGCTGGCACCGGCGGGACACCGGGGGCTGCACCCAACCGGTGCCTGAGCCGGGACCCCCGCCCGGACCCTCCGCTTTGACCCCCCGCTCTGACCCTCACCCGGAGCCCCCGCTCGGTGTTGGTCGGAGCTGCCGGGACGGTCCCCGGGCAGGGGCGAGCCCCGGTGCCCGCCGGGGTCCCCACGGAGCGCAGGCGCCCGCGTGGCACCGGGCACCGAGGCAGCGGCCGGTCTGAGCATCCTCCTGTGCCCCGACTCCGCTGGGGCCCGTCCCGGGGCCGGTCTCGGTGTGGGGCGGTCCCGGGGCGGGGCCCGAGGCTGGGGGGCGGTCCCGGTCCCGGTGCCCGTTCCTCCGCCGCCAGCCCGGCCATGCCGTTCCCCGCCGCGCTGCTGCTGTTCTTGGCGCTGCTGCCGCCGCCGCCGCCGCTCTGCCGCGCTGCCGAGAGCGAAACCGAAACCGGCGCCCGGGAGCTACGGCTGGAAACGATCGTGAGCCGGGGGGGGGACGGGGCAACCGGGGCTGCGCGGGAGGCACCGGGGACCCACGCGGCCCCCTTGGGCAGGCAGCTGAGACCGGGGCGGCACCGGCAGGGAACGGCGGCACCGGCGGGACACGGGGCACCGGCGGGATGGAGCACCGGGGAGCTCGGCCTGGGCACGGGGCGGCGGAGGAGGCACCGGGAGGCCCGGGCTGTGGCGGGGGGGAGCTACGGGGCACCGGGAGGAGCGGGCTGCGATGGGAGGGCAGCGGGAGGACCGGGCTGTGGCGGAGGAAGGCGGCGCAGCGAGGACGGGGCGGCCGGGCGGGAGTTCGGCGCTCGGAGCGCTCGGGGGGCCCCGGTGGGCGCGGGGGCTGCGCGGACCCCGAGGCGAGGGGGCCCCGTCCCGGCTCCCCGTGACCTCCCCGTTGCAGGTGCCGCCCCCCGAGGGCTGCACGGAGCTGTCGGCGCCGGGGGACACGGTGCACATCCACTACACGGTGCGGGCGGGCGGCGGGAGGAACACGTCAGCACTGCGCTCCGGCGGGCGGGGCGGGGGGCACCGGCACCGGCACCGCCGGGGGGGGCCTCGGCCGGCACCGGGCCGGTACCGGGGGTTGTAGCAGGGTGGGCAGCGCGGGCGGTACCGGGCTGGGCAGTGGGATGGTACCGTGGTGGAACCGGAGTGAGCGTGGGGGTGGACAAGGGGATGGTGCCATGGTGCCACTGAGACTGGCATGGGGACAGCCCCAGGATGGGCGCTGGGTGGCACCTGGAGTGGCACAGGGAGACACTGGGGCTGCCATGGGATAACCCCAGTGTGGGCATGGCTGGCACTGGGATTGGCCAGAGGATTACTTTGGGATGATCCCGGCACTGGGAGCGGGGAGGATGCCCCGGAGTGACACGGAGTGTACCGGGACTGGGATCAGCACAGGGATGGCACAGGAGGGGGCACAGGAACTGGGACCACCACAGGGATGGCACAGGAGGGGGCACAGGAACTGGGATCAGCACAGGGATGGCACAGGAGGGGACCACAGGGACTGGGATCAGCACAGGGATGGCACAGGAGGGGGCACAGGGATGGCACAGGGGGACCACAGGGACTGGGATCAGCACAGGGATGGCACAGGGGGACCACAGGGATGGCACAGGAGGGGCACAGGGACTGGGATCAGCACAGGGATGGCACAAGGGAGCTGCAGGGACTGGGATCAGCACCAGAGCAGCACTGGGAACGTGCTGGCAGCCACACAGAGAAAGTGCCAGGGCTGTGTCCCCAGGGGTGACCATGGCAGTGACTGAGACCGTGTCCCCCGCAGGGCACGCTGGAGGATGGCCGGATCATCGACTCCTCGCTGAGCCGGGACCCCCTCCAGGTGGAGCTGGGCAAGCACCAAGTCATTCCTGGTGGGTGAGGGGCTCAGGGGAAGTGGGGTTTGGGGGTAACCCCGACTAGCCCCACTCACCCTCGCCCCACTCTGCTACAGGTCTGGAGCAGAGTCTGCTGGACATGTGTGTGGGGTAAGTGCAGATGGGGGACACGGGGGTCCCCCCCAGTGTCCCCACCAGAATTTGTGGCACCAACACTCTCCCTGTGGCAGGGAGAAGCGCCGAGCCATCATTCCCCCTCACTTAGGCTACGGCAAGCGGGGCTCCCCCCCCAGCATCCCAGGTGAGCACAGCCCTCGGGGTCCCCGTGGGGTCTCTGTGGGGTCCCCGCTCAGGCTGTGCCCCCCTTGCAGGTGACGCTGTGCTGCGCTTCGAGGTGGAGCTGGTGGGGTTGTCCCGGGCCAGTTACTGGCAGAAGGTGGTGAACGAGGTGGTGCCACTGCTGTGCCTGGGGCTGGTGCCAGCGCTGCTGGGGCTCATTGGGTTCCACCTCTACCGCAAGGCCAGCAGCCCCAAGCTCTCCAAGAAAAAGCAGAAGGAGGAGAAGAGGAACAAAGCCAAAAAGAAATAAAACCATCCCCTCGGCATCTGCGGCTGCTCCGTGGCTGCTCTTCCTGAGCCAGTGATGGGCACAGAGCAGGGGGAAGGGGCTGTGCACCCCTCAGCTCCCTGCCTGCTCCAGGGCCCTGATGGGTCGTGTCAGACCTGAGTGGGAGGTGACAGACGCAATGAATCCCAGAAATAAGACTCTGGAGCACATTTTCAGGCAGTTTTATCCAGGCAGTGGCAATCCCTGAGCCCCCAAACACCAGGGAGACTGCCTGGGAGCCTCAGCTGGAGCTGGTGGAGCCAGGAATGGGGTCCTGGTGGTTGACCCCACCCCAGAGGCTCTTGGGGTGCACCACGCCTTGTGTCCCCGAGCGTGGCTCGCCCACGATGTGGGGCTCATTTCTGGGGATGCAACTTTTGCTTGGTGGTGAGGAGGGGGTGGGGGTCTTTGGGCACCTTCTGGTTGATCGTAGCCCCCGCCAGGTACTGCTGGAGCAGCCTACGCAGCTCCTGGTTCCTGTCTGCCAGGGCTGCCCGTGCCCTCTCCAGCCCCTTCTCCTCCAGCTTCGCCTTGTTGAACCGCTGCCAGAACCTCTCCAGCCCCACGTAGTCCTGCAAGGCCTGGGGGGAGGCAGCGGGGAGATTTTGGGGTCTCCAGCTTGCCCAAGCACCAGCTGGGGGATGCCCAGGGCTGGATCACAGCCCTCGTGCCCTGAGCACGCCCTCACCTGTGCCAGGGGCTCGCTGGTGGTCTCCTCCAGCACCCTGCGGGCTTTTTGCTGCTCCTGCTCGGCCAGGGAGGAGGCGTAGAAGGGCAGCACCTTCTCCTCCTGCGTCTCCAGCTTGCGGCACATCTCAGCCAGGCGCAGGATGCGCTGGGCCTGGGGGGACGCCGGGAAGGGCGGCTGGGAAGGGACAGCAGGACACAGGGCACGGGGACATCCCCCTCAGCGCTGCCCAGCTCACCTTCTCCACCACCTGCCGCAGCACCTTGAGGGTGGCGCTGCACTGGCAGGTGAGAGTCACCAGGTGGGTGTGAGCCGTGGCCCCGGCCTGGCTGATCTGAGCCCGGAGCTTCTGGAGCTTCTGGAGGGCGAGTTCCCTCTCGTCCCGGATGCGCTGGGTTTGCTCCTCATTCTCCTGCAGCTGAGCCGCGATCTGGCCCCTGGTGGTTGTAAGCGTGTCCTGGTGGAACAGCAGGATGGCCATCAGGGAGAATTCCTTCTTGGAAAGAGTGGCCCAGCTTTGGAATGGGCTGTTCAGGGCAGGGATGGAGGAACCATCCATGGAAGTGCTCAAAAACCAGGTGGATGTGGTCCCTGGGGATGTGGTTTAGTGGTGGCCCCGGCAGCGCTGAGAACAATTGGACTTGATGGTCTTAGAGACTTTTCCAACCTCAATAATTCCATGATTCTACGGCTCAGGCACTGCTCCACAAACTCTTGGGGGCCCTTGCTTAGCCTGGCCTGTTGTCACCTCCTTGCCAGTGCTGGCTTGGACTTGATGGGTCTCAGAGGCTTTTCTGACCTCAACAATTCCATGGAAAATGAGTGGGGATGGCGAGTGACCCCCCCTCCCACAGCCACCCAGCACCCTGCCAAAACCTGGAGCTTCTGCAGCTTCTTCGCCTGTGCATCAATCTCGCAGGAAGTCTTCTCACACTTCCTCTTCAGCTCCTCAAACTCCACCTTCTTCTTCTCCGTGGCTTGGGCGTAGCTCCTCCGGGCTGTCTGGATCTGGTCCCACAGCCCTTCCAGCCTGGCCACCAGCTGCAGCCTGCTGTACTGCTGATCCTGCCAGCACTGGGGACACCCAGGTTACACCCCCAAACCTCCCCTGCCAGCCCTAGGAGCCCCTCGATGCTCCCTTGTGCCCCCCTTGCCTTGTTTTTGATGTCGTCCCGGGCGCTCTGGAAGTTCAGCAAGGCCTCGTGCTCGTTCCTGGCGTGATCCTGCTCCATGGCCAGCGCCATGTCCTGCAGGCAGCAGCTTTCCCAGTCTTGCTGCTCCAGCATGGCTTTTCTGTGGGCACACACGGCAGGGCAAAGGGGTTTCCTCCCTGACAGAGACGCTGCGGGCATCCCTGTGGCGCCAGGGGAGGCTCAGCTCCATCCCAGGAGCGCCCATGGGTGCCACTGCTGCCCCGTTCCCCTTCTCCCTCTGAAATTCCACACCTCTCAGCCTCGAACTCGGCCTTCAGGGCGCCCACCTGGGCACTGAACCCCTGCTCCAGGTAGCCCAGGCGGCAGCGCTGGAGCTGCAGCAGTTGGTCTGTGAGGTGCAGGTGGCTGCGCAGGGCTCGGTTCTGCTGCTCCTCTGCTTCCTTCAGCTCCGTGACCAGCGCCTGGGGAGTTTTTGGGGGGAGGGAGGGGGTCATGTGTGTTCCCCAGCAGCCCCCATGCCCTGCCAGCCCCCACAGCCACCTCAATGGCGCTGTCCTTGCAGTCCATGACCCGTGTGAAGGTCTGGCTGAGGATCTCGATGTCCTGGCGCAGCTCCTCGTCCTTGGTCTTGCGCTGGGCCGAGCGCCAGAGCGTGCAGACCTTGTGGAGACCCCACCTGCTGCTCTGCTCCTCCCGGGACAACTTCTCCTGTGGAGGGGCCGTGGGAGGTGGGAAAGGAGCGGGAGTGAGCTTGGGGCTGCCTCTGGTACCAGGGGGTGCAGCAGAACAGGGGCAGCCCCAGCCCTGGTGGGGATGATGGGGGCATTTGGTGGGGAAAAGCAGTTTGGGGGGCTCAGAGGGGTGGAGTTTGGAGCAGGGTCCCGGACCTGCAGGAAGCGAGTGAGCAGTTCCCGCTTGGCTTTGGCCGCCTCCTCCTCAGCCAGCGCTTGTCTCTGCAGGAGCAGCAGCTCGTCCTCGGCCGCCCTGGGGGCAGCGGGACGGAGCCCCGCCATGGCTGGAGAAGGGGACACGGCAGGAGGGGTCGGGGGATGCCCGGGGTCTGCCTGGTGGTCCCTCCAGAGCCCCCCCCCCACCACCAAGGCCTGACCCCCTCCCCTCCAGCCCCCCGCACTATGGGGTACCCCACACCCCATAACCTTCTGCCCACCCCCGTCTCCCTCCCCAGGCTCCCTCCCTTTCCTGTCCCCTCCACTTAGAGTACCCTCAGACCCCCTCAAGCCCTGCTCATCCCCTCTCCCCTTCCAGCCCTGTTTCCACTTCCCTCCCCAGGCCTCCCCCAAGGCCCATTCCCCGCTGCCCATCTCCAGAGCCCTCCCAGCTCACCCCCTCCCTCCCACGCTCTCCCAGCGCCCACTGCCCTTTGCCCAGCCCCACCTCCGCCTCTGGGGTCTCGCTCCCCGCTCTGGGCTCCCGGTCCCGGTCTCGGTCCCGGTGCCGCTCGCGTCCCTCCGGTCTCCCGGCAACGGCGGCGGGCGGAGCCTCGCGGCACTTCCGCCCCGCCCCGCACCGGCGCCCCCTGCCGGCCAAGAGCGCGCCCGCACCCCCTGCGGGGCGTGTCCCGCGAGCTCTGCCTCGCCGCTATTGGCCGGCGCTCCGGGATTCCCCGCGCTGATTGGCGAGCGGGCGCCGCCGTGGGCGGGCCCTGCAGCCGGCGGGGTATATAAGGGCGCTGCGGCGGCGGGGCGCAGGGCGGTGGGTGGGTGCGAGTGGGGGGGTTCACGCGCGCCGCCGCCGCCGCCGCCATGCGGGAGCGGAGGCCGGCGCCGGCCGCTCCGGCCCGGTGCAAGCTGGTGCTGGTGGGTGACGTGCAGTGCGGCAAGACGGCCATGCTGCAGGTGCTGGCCAAGGATTGTTACCCCGAGGTGAGCCCACAGCGGCACCGGGAACCGTGCAGCGGGCACCGGCAAGCGGGAACCGGGCGCTGACGCTCTCGGTGCCCCGTTGCAGACGTACGTGCCCACCGTGTTTGAGAACTACACGGCGTGCCTGGCCAGCGAGGAGCAGCGGGTGGAACTGAGCCTCTGGGACACCTCCGGTACCGGGGACAGACGCGCGCGGTGCACGTTTGAGGGGCTACCGGAGAAGTGGGGCGGGGGCTGCCCGACCCTGGCTCGGTTGTTTGCTGGGGAAGGTGGTTTGGGGTTTTTGGGGGGGGGGGTCACGGTCGGGATGCTGCAGTGAGCGGGGGGTCGCTGCGGTGGGGTGCTCTGGTGTCCCGAGGGTGTTTCGGGTGTCTCGGGGCCCTGCAGCGCGGCGGGGAGGGGCGCCGGTGGCCGTGGCGAGGTCTCGGGGGTGTTTTGGGGGTGTTTTGTGGTCCCTGGGGTGGGTTCAGGTCCGGGGTCATATCCGTGGCTGTGGGGAGCGCAGCTTCTCCCCAGGGACCGACCCCACGGTGATCCAGACACCCTGGGGGGGTCACAGGAGGCTGAGCCCCCCATGGTGTGAATTGAGCGGATTATGGGGTATCCCGGTGTTGCCCTTCCCGGGGCACCCCGAAGAGTTTCGGGGGGGGTCGGGGTAGCCCTGCCCGGTGCTGCAGTGTCCCCCCCGGTAGGGGGGGGTCCCCGCCGGTCCCCGGTTGCCATGGCGATGCGCTGGCGCAGCCTCTTTGCTATTCTGTGCACGGAGCGTCTGGGCTGCGAAACCCCTCCGAGGCTTTTGGGGGGCCGGGGGGGGACGGACGGGAGGGACATCCCGGAGCCCCCCACCCCCCTGACCCCTTCCCGCACCCTCCTTTCCCCCGCGCCGCGACCCCCGCGGTCCCCGGTGCGGTGCTGGTGGCTCCGTGTCCCCGAGGACCCCGAGGGGGTGGCAGCGTGTCCCACCCCCTCCTCCGGCTTCTCCCCCCCAACCCCGACACCCCTGGGTGCTGCCGGGGCTCCCCAAAACGGGGGGCGGGGGGGATGTTACATAAACACCGCGGGCTCCATTTCCCGCTGCCTCGCCAAGGCGCGATGCAGCTGATGGGCTGCGGGGACGGAGGTGGCGTTTTGGGGGGGTTCCAGAGCTGTGCCCCTCTCCCCGGCCCCAGGGGGGCTGTGTCCCTTTTGGGGGGCTCTGGAGCTGTGTCCCTACGTCCCTCTTGCTGTGTTTCTTTTGGGGGTCTCTGCCTTTTGGGGGGCTCTAGAGCTGTGTGTCCGTCTGTGCCTTTTGGGGGGCTGTGTCTGTTTTGGGGGGCTCTAGAGCTGTGTGTCCCTCTGTCCCTTTTGGGGGGCTGTGTCCTTTTTGGGGGGCTCTGGAGCTGTGTGTCCCTATGTCCTTCTTGGGGTTCTCTAGAGCTGTGAGCCACCACCCTGAACAGGAGGGGAGCTGTGTTTGTTTTGGGGGTGTCTGTGCCTTTTGGGGGGCTCTAGAGCTGTGTGTCCCTCTGTCCTTTTTGGGGCGCTGTGTTTGTTTTTTGGGGCTCTAAAGCTGTGTGTCCCTCTGTCCCTTTTGGGGTGCTGTGTTTGTTTTGGGGGGCTCTGTGCCTTTTGGGGGGCTCTAGAGCTCGGTGCACCCACTTCAGGCATGAATAGGATTTGTCTTTTTTAAGGGAGTCTAGACCGGTGTCCCCCCTGTCCCTTTTGAGATTCTGTGTCTGTTTTGGGGGGCTCTAGAGTTGTGCTCCCCTGTCCCTTTTGGGGTTCTCCCAAACTGTGAACCCTCATGCTGGGCAGGAGTGAGGCTGTGTCTATTTTGGGGGGCTCTGTCTTTTTTTGGGGAGGGGCTCCAAGGCGGTGCACGCCACCTCAGGCAGGAGGTGGCTTCGTGTCTCTTGAGGGGCTGTGTCCCTTTTGGGGGCTCTGGAGCTGTGTGTCCCTCTGTCCCTTTTGGGGGTCTCTGTCCCTTTTGGGGGTCTCTGTCCCTTTTGGGGAACTGTCCCTTTTGGGGGTCTCTAGAGCCGTGCCCTCACCCCAGGCAGGACCGGGGTCTCTGTCCCTTTTGGGGGTCTCTAGAGCTGTGTGTCCCTCTGTCCCTTTTGGGGGGCTGTGTCCCATTTGAGGGGCTGTGTCCCTTAGCCAGACCCCCTTTCCCATGTCCCTGGGGTGGGGGGGCTGAGCTGTGACCCCCCCAATTTTCCCCCAGGCTCTCCCTACTATGACAACGTGAGGCCCCTGTGCTACAGCGACTCGGACGCCGTCCTGCTCTGCTTCGACGTCAGCCGCCCCGAGACCCTCGACAGTGCGGCCAAGAAGGTGGGGAGGGGGCTCAGGCCCCGGGACAGTGTCCCCGTGGGGTTTGGGGGGCTCAGAGATGTGGGGACACCACCCTGAGGTGTCCCCGTGGGGTTTGGGGGGCTCAGAGATGTGAGGACACCAATGCAGGGGGATCTCTGTGGGGTTTTGGGTGCTCAGAGATGTGGGGACACCACCCTGAGGTGTCCCCGTGGGGTTTGGGGGGCTCCGAGATGGGAGGACACCAATGCAGGGGGATCTCTGTGGGGTTTGGGGGTTCAGGGCTGTCAGGACACTGTCCTGGGGGGTGCCTCTGTGGGGAGAGGTTTTTGGGGTTGCCCTGAGAGCAGCTGTGTGCCTCGACCCCTCAGTGGAAGACGGAAATTTTGGATTATTGCCCCAACACGCGGGTGCTGCTCATCGGCTGCAAGACGGACCTGAGGACGGACCTGAGCACGCTGCTGGAGCTCTCGCACCAGAAACAGGCGCCCGTCTCCTACGAGCAGGTTTGGGGTGTCCTGCTGGGTTTTGGGGGGGTCCCAGTGTTCGTGGGGCTCAGTTTGGGGTGTCTCGGTGTTTGTGGGATGGGTTTGGGGTGTTTGTGGGGCTCAGTTTGGGGCTGTCCCGGTGGGTTTTGGGGCTGTCCCTCTGTCTGTGGGGTGGGTTTGGGGCTGTCCCAGTGGGTTTGGGGCTCAGTTTGGGGCTGTCCGGGTGGGTTTTGGGGCTGTCCCGAGTCTGTGGGGTGGGTCTGGGGCTGTCCTGGTGTGTTTTTTGGGCTGTCCTGGTGTGTTTTTGGGCTGTCCCACTGTTTTGGGGTTCACTTTGCCCCATCCCCTGCCTGCCGGGGGTGGTTCCCCGCAGGGCTGCGTGGTGTGGGGTGGGTTTGGGGGCTGTCCCACTGTTTTGGGGCTCAGTTTTGGGCTGTCCTGGTGGGTTTTTTGGGCTGTCCCTGTGGGTTTTTTGGGCTGTCCTGCTGTTTTGGGGCTCACTTTGGGGCTGTCCCCATGGGTTTGGGGCTGTCCCGCTGTTTTGGGGCTCACTTTGCCCCATCCCCTGCCTGCCGGGGGTGGTTCCCCGCAGGGCTGCATGGTGTGGGGTGGGTTTGGGGGCTGTCCCACGGTTTTGGGGCTCAATTTTGGTCCGTCCTGGTGGGTTTTTTGGGCCGTCCCGGTGGGTTTTTTGGGCTGTCCTGCTGTCTTGGGGCTCACTTTGGGGCTGTCCCCATGGGTTTGGGTTTATCCTGCTGTTTTGGGGCTCACTTTGCCCCGTCCCCTGCCCGCAGGGCTGCGCGGCCGCCCGGCAGCTGGGTGCCGAGGGGTACCTGGAGTGCTCGGCCTTCACGTCGGAGAAGAGCGTGCACAGCATCTTCCGCAGCGCCTCGGGGCTCTGCCTGAGCCGAGCCCCCCGCCCGCCGCCCCGCAGCCCCCCCCGCAGCCTCTCCAAGCGCCTCCTGCACCTCCCCAGCCGCTCCGAGCTCATCTCCTCCGCCTTCAAGAAGGAAAAAGCAAAAAGCTGCTCCGTCATGTGAAGGGGGGAAAGGAATGACCCCGCTAAATACACACCACGATCACCTTTGGGACCCCCCGCTCCGCTCCCGAAGCCCCCCGAATGGGGTGGGGGGGCTGGATGGGGTTCTGGAGTCTGGAGCTCCCCCCCCCCACTCAAAAGGAGGGTTTGGGGGTGCTGCTATTGTCCCGCCAGCCCCACAGCCTTGGGGGCTGCCCCTGTGGGGAGGGGGTCTGGGGGGTGTCTTCACCCCGGTCTCCAACCCTGAGGGGGTCCCTGGGGGGTTTGGGGTGCCCAGACCCTCGGGGACATCAATCCTGAGGGGTTCCTGGGGGATTTGGGGCACACAGGACCCCAGAGACCTCAACCCATAGGGGTTTGGGGTACTCAGACCCTTGGGGACATTAACCCTGAGGGGTCCCTGGGGGATTTGGGGTGCCCAGACCCTTGGGGACATCAACCCCGAGGGGTCCTTGTGGGGTTTGGGGTGCCGAGACCCTCAGAGACATCAACCCATAGGGGTCCCTGGGGGGTTTGGGGTGCCCAGACCCTCAGGAACATCAAACCTGAGGGGGCCCTGGGGGGTTTGGGGTGCCCAGGACCCCAGGCACATCAACCCTGAGGGGTCCCTTGAGGGTTTGGGGTGCCCAGACCCTCGGGGACATCAACCCTGAGGGGTCCCTGGGGAATTTGGGGCACACAGGATCCCAGAGACATCAACCCATAGGGGTTTGGGGTATCCAGACCCTTGGGGACATCAACCCTGAGGGGTCCCTGGGGGTTTTGGGGCACACAGGACTCCAGAGACATCAACCCATAGGGTGCCCAGACCCCTGGGGACATCAACCAGGGGGGTCCCTGGAAGGTTTGGAGTGCCCAGACCCTTGGGGACATCAACCCTGAGGGGTCCCTGGGGGTTTTGGGGCACACAGGACCCCAGACACATCAACCAGGGGGATCCCTGGAGGGTTTGGGGTTTCCAGACCCTCAGGGACATCCACCTGGGATGGTCACTGCGGGGTTTGGGGGACGCAGGGACCCTGTCCTGGGTATGCCTGTGGGGTTTGGGGTGCACATCATGGGACTCATCCATGGACTCATCCTGTTCTCTCCCCCTTTCCCCCACCCCTCATCTGCTGCTTGGCCCTGGGGGACCCTGTGGGTTGGGGAGGGGGGTGGGGGGCTGTTTTATGGACTGTCTTTGGGGGGGGGGGGGTGTCTCTGTTCCATGTCAGTGTTATTAAAAAGCTTATTTATTATCAGAAATATAACACCTACCTATGTGCAGCCCTGCCTGGCCCTGTGCTTTGGGGAGGGATTCTGCTTTTTGGAGGCTGTTGGGACTTTCGGGATGTGTCGGTGTCACTGGTGATGGTGACACCGACATGGGGCTGTGCTGTCACCCCTGGGTGCTGGTGCAGAAGGCAGAATCCCTGGCTGGGTGTCTTTGGTGGGGGGGGGTTGGTGCCAAAAGGGTCCCCCCACCTCTCCTGCCCCCAGACTCCACCTGGGACCCCCCTGTGTTGTGCATGGGGACGCAGTGGGGGTCTGGGGCTCCTGCAGGGACTCTGATTCGGGGGTCCCCGGCCAGTCTGGGGCGCACAGGGCTGGGGGGGTCCCCGTGGGATTTGGGGTGCGCAGGGACATGGGGGACACTGACTCGGGAGGGGCCCACCCAGGATTTGGGGTGCTCTGGGACCTCACTTGGGTGAGCAGGAGGTGCCTGCGGGGGGGCTCGGGGACACGGGGACACCGTCCCGGGGGACTCTTTGCCATGGGGAGGGGGGCGCTGCCGCGCGGCGGAAGGATCACGGAGCGCGGCGGTACTGCGACCGCGCAGGGGCGCTGAGGCTGCCGGGAGCTGTAGTCCAAAAGCGCGGAGGCTGCCGGGAGCTGTAGTCCAAGGGCGCGGGGGCTGCCGGGAGTCGTAGTCCAAGGGCGCGGGGGCTGCCGGGCGCTGTAGTCCCGCGCCGTCCCGGCGTGCCCCGCGGGCGCGGCAGACATGGCGGCGGAGCGGCGGCGCTGAACCCGGGGCCGCGGCGGTGAGCGGGGACCGGCGGGAGCGAGCGAGGGGCATTGCGGGAACCTCCTGGGGGCCCAGGCGGCCGGAGAGCCCTGCAGCAGCGGCACCGGGCACCGCCCCGCTGCTGGGCACCGGCGGCAGGGCCTGGAGCGCCGTTGCGCCGCGTCCCCCGGGCCGGCCGGAGCCTTTCCGGGGCTCCCCGGGACTCCCCGCACCCACCCCCCCCGGGGCTCCCTCTGCCCTCTCGGGGTCCCCCCTTCCCTCTGCGTTCTCTCCTCGGGGCCCCCCAGCCCTTCCCGCTCCTTGCTGGGGTCCCTCTGTTCCGTCTCCCAGGTTCGCCACTCTCACCGGTGCATCCCCCGGTCCTCCCGGTGCATCCCCGGCCCTCCCGGTGCGTCCCCCGGCCCTCCCGGTGCGTCCCCCGGCCCTCCCGGTGCGTCCCCGACCCTCCCGGTGCGTCCCCGACCCTCCCGGTGCGTCCCCCGGCCCTCCCGGTGCGTCCCCCGGCCCTCCCGGTGCGTCCCCGACCCTCCCGGTGCATCCCCCCGCAGATGGCCGGAGAACTGGCGGACAAGAAGGATCGGGATTCATCCCCGGTGAAGGAGGAACGGAAACGCTCCCGCTCCCCTGAACGGGACCGGGAGCGGGAGCGGGACCGGAAAAGCTCCCCCGCCAAGGAGCGGAAGCGGCACCGATCCCGGGAGCGGCGGCGGAGCCGTTCCCGTTCCCGTTCCCGCTCCAAATCCACCGAGAGGTGAGGCAGCCCCGGGGCTTCGAAGGCTTCGGCAGCGGGAAAGGAAAGCGGGAGGAGAAACGTTCTGATTATTCTTGTTTTTTCTTTTAATTAAAAAAATATTTATTTAATTTTAAAAAAATCATTTTTTTAATTAAAAAATGAATTTTTTAATTGAAAAAATCAAATTTTTATTGAAAAAATTAATAAGCTTTTTAAATACCTTTTTAAAGAGGACACAAAGAAAAAACTAATAACGGTATTTTATTTTAAAACTAGCTTCCCTTTTAAAGTTTGAGGCTGCCTCCCAACCCTGCCTCCCAGCAGGAATTGGGGATGGGGAGTGATAGTAAAAGGGTTTTAAAATCGTGGGGATTTAGGGTTAAAAGGAAAAATCAGCTTAGTAAGTCCTGGAAAAATCAATTCCTTAAGCACATGGAGAACTCGGACTTGCTACAACTGCACTGTGTAGCTAGGACATGCTAATTGAAATATTGTTAGATGTGATGATTGTTTAGTAATTAAATATAATTATTGTTTAATCATAAGAATAATCATGAGAAACTGTGGTCAGTGAGCTAAGAAAGATGATGAGAAACTCATGTCAGTGTGTACAACAGAACAATATAAGTTTAATAATTAATATGTGAGTTATGTAACGATAAAAGCACCTGCAGATAATGATATCCTGTGATTATTTGTGTTCTTAAACAATGTATTAATATGCAAATTAATATCTAAGTTATAGAAGGATAGAATATAATATATATTCAGGTCAAAATGGGTGTCGGAGTCAGATTTGGGTCTGTACCCCTGATTCCCAGAGCTCTTAATAGAAGCACCTGCAGATAATGATATCCTGTGATTATTTGTGTTCCTAAACAATGTAAATTTAATAATTAATATGCAAACTAATATCTAAGTTATATAGGATAGAATATAAAATATGTTCAGCTCAAAATGGGTGTCGGAGTCAGATTTGGGTTTGTACCCCAACTCCCAGAGCCCTTAATAAAAGCACCTGCAGATAATGATATCCTGTGATTATTTGTGTTCCTAAACAATGTATTAATATGCAAATTAATATCTAAGTTATATAAGGATAGAATATAAAATATGTTCAGCTTGAAATGGGTGTTGGAGTCGGATTTGGGGCTGTACCCCTGATTCCCAGAGCCCTTAATAAAAATACCTGCAGGTAATGATATCCTGTGATTATTTGTGTTCCTAAACAATGTAAATGTAATAATTAATATGCAAATTAATGTCTAAGTTATAGAAGGATAGAATATAAAATACATTCAGCTCAAAATGGGTGTCGGAGTCAGATTTGGGGCTGTACCCCTGACTCCAAGCTCTTAATAAAAGCACTGCAAATAATGATATCCTGTGATTCTGTGTGCTCCTGCACGCTGGCAGGAGCACTGAGCCCACCCCGCTCACTGCTGCATTGGCCAGGAAATCTCCAAACGAGCCACATCTCAGCTGTTTGAACCCAAACCTCTGCCCGGCCCCCCAAAACCCCAGAAGGGGGGTGTGAGGGCTGTGGGGCCGGGCTCTGATCCCCCATCCCGCAGGGATCGGCGGCACAAGGAGCGCGACCGGGACCGCGGCAAGAAGGAGCGGGACAGGGACAAGGATGGGCACCGGCGGGACAAGGACCGCAAGCGCTCCAGGTGGGTCCTGCCCGTTTCTTTGAGGGGTTCCTGCTCTCCCCTAAACCCCCTGGAGGTTGGAGATCCCTCAGGGCTGTGCTTGGTGGTGTCTCTTATTCCATGCTGTTTTCCTTGGAAGTTTGTCCCCGGGCAGGGGGAAGGACTCCAAGTCGCGGAAGGAGCGGGAGGCCCGGAAAGCAGAGGAAGAGGAGGAAAATGCCTTGAAGAAGGAGAAGGTGGGGAGGGTGTGGCAGTGGCTCCAGGAGGGCCCTGGGGAGTGGTTCCAGGGGATTCCAGGAGCGGTGCTGATGTCTGGCCTCTCTTGCAGGCGCAGCCGCTGTCCTTGGAGGAGCTGCTGGCAAAGAAGAAGGCAGAAGAGGAGGCAGAAGCCAAGGTGGGAGAAGGAACAGGAGCCTCTTCCCTCTTCTGGGGGTGTGGATGTTTGTGGGGATGCTGCACGGGGGACCCCAGGAGGGAACAGGGAGGGCTGAGAAACTTGGGGGGTGCAGAGGGACCCCAGAAGGAAGCAGGGAGTGCCAGGGGACACTGGGAGGGATCATGGGCTGGAGCAGGGAGGGCACTTGGGGAGCTGTGGAGACAGGGGAGGAAGAAGGGAGGCTGGGGGACCCCCAGGAGGGAGCAGGAGGACTTTGGGAAGGCTGAGGGGTCTGGTGAGGGGCACAGAAGGGCCTTGGGAGGGAAAGGAGGGCTGGGGGACACGGGGAGGGAGTGGAGAGGTCTGGGGTATCCAGAGAGGGAGAGAAGGAACCCAGGAGGGAGGGGGAGGCCTGGGGGGTCCGGGAAGGAGCAG